ACTGACATTAAAGGCTGCTGCATCTGCACATCCCGCTACCCAGAGGGGACAGTGAACTATCACGAGTCAGAAGTGCCCAACCCAAAGGGCTCAGACCTCCCGTCTCCCCGCTGCCCCCCAGCAGTGGACTTCAGTGAATGCGCCCGTTCTGCTCCCCACTCTGTCTCTGGGGAGTCCTCTAACTGCCCCTGCACCTCCGGCCTGCACCCCCGTTCTGTGTGTGTGACAACTAAGTCATTGTCTACAATGTGCCCTTTGCGCTGCCCTAAGCTGTCTCCACCTCCTGGCATCGGGCCTTAGTGCAATCACATTGCCGTGTTCTGTGGACATGAGCGAGTGTGCAACACCCATCTGCAAATATATAGTTCACGCACATTTGGATTGCACAGCCCACACCCACCTAGTTTAGGTCCCTGTTCCCTGCATGTGGTGATTTCTGTGGCGTTCTGATTACTGGACAGGCCAGCCGGAGGGCAGCGAAGTTGCCGCAGCTTTCACTTTCATGGATATTTCATGGTGTGGGAACGATTTTGCGTGGGAGGGTAAAGATGTCTCCGTATTTCTCCCATTGCTATGGTATTTGCAGCAAGTTTTCCGTTTTCACTGCATACCTTCCCCGTATCTTTGTGCCAAAGTACCGTTGAGCGCAATTTAGCACGCTATGTTCTCTGTATTTTGAGCTTTTATTTTTGCCATCCTGTGTAACTCCTGTGGCTTTATAACGTGTGAGAAAGTCCTAATTTTTTTCAGGACCCTAATTTGTAACGCAAAGTTCAGCGACTCAAATGTTAGGGTCTGCACTGCCGTGCTCGCGTCGAGCGGCGCTGCTGACCGCAGACCCACCCCCACCCGGAAGGCCGGGGCCGCGTGATCGCGGCCCCAGCGCCGGACATCGCGGGCTCACCTCGTCCGCGTGCACTACCAGGTGGTGCGCCGTGACCAGGGCCTTGAACACCACCGCCCAGCTGCTGCTCTCGGTCTTCTTGGACAGGATGTCGGCCAGATGCGGCACGTTCATGTTGGTTTTGTTGACGTGCCGCGTTAGATCTGCGGACACGGAGAGGACGTCACCCCGGAGCAGTCGCGCGAACAATGGCCGGCAGCGGCTCCCAGGCGACACAGCCAAGGCCGAATCAGCCCAG